TATCTATCTATCTATCTGTCTGTCTGTCTGTCTGTCTGTCTCCCTCCCTCCCTCTAATCTCGGTATTAAGAAGAGACACAGGTTAGCCCCTCCCTGACTCACTGGGGTATAAGAGTGAGGGGAGGAAAAGCACAATCAGACTTGCAAGATTCTGTTGTTATAGCCTATCTTGATAAAGTATAGATCTACTCTTCCTGTGGAGTTGATTTTGGGGTCTGGTCTGCCTCATGGAACTGACCCTCCCCTTAAAGTAGGCTAGAGCTGAGTGAGGAAGTGAGTTTTGGTAGATAGCTAGCCCAGCTGGTTTAAGCATCAGTCAAAGCTTTTATTGGTTTTGGGGAACTGTGGAGCCACTGCTGGTCAGCTGGTGGTCAAGCAGATCCAGATCTCTGAGCCAGGGATTGACTTAGAGACCTGGAAGTTATAGGGGGAGAACTCAGTTTGAAGGAACCAGACATTCTTGTACTGTGAAGCAGAATGGTTCTTGAAGAGGGTGCCAAAAGTGATTTGAAGGCAAAGGGAATGCCTACATCAGCCTAACATGGCTGAGATAATGTCATCTTCTGAGGGTCACCTTATTATGAAGCACATCAGATACAGATTCAGCAGCCTGCCATAGTGCTTAAAAGGGAAACTCTACTTCAGCATTAGAATAAATATGGACAACTTTAAGCCCCCTCATATGTGGGCTGGGGATGAGAGGAAGGCAACATCATGAATGAGGACACAGCAGAAAAGAGAGGCTGCTATGAGATGTTCATTCTATGATTTGTGCAAGTGAAGAAATACCCATAATTATACTAGTTAACATAGGACACATAATTGAGAAGTCAGTGAGAGAAATACTTCTGTCTGTGAGATGCACTTTCAAGAATTACCAATTCTTGAAATTTTTTGTATGGGGAGGAAATAGGAAAAAAAGATTCTAACATCAAGGACATTAATCTAGACCTAGTAGGAATCAGGAGATGCCATCAGGATTTAAAGACCCAAAATACAGGTGAGTAAAACATCATGTTGCATATGCATCTCTCTTTCTGAATGCTCACATACACACCCTTTCTGCTATGAATAACTTGAATAACTTCAATTAGTAAAATTGGGGAACACATTTTTAGGGGTTGAAGCATCTTGGATTAAACAAAAACTCTCTAAAAATATAAAGGAGCAAGTAGTCCTCCAATTTGTTGTTCCAAAGCCTCCAAAAAATTCCACAACACTTTTTCATGAAACTATCTTGAGGACTTTAAAATGGCTAGATTTGGGAGATTTTAGCTATTTCTAAAAAAAATAAGGTATAATAGTGGTAAATCTAAATAGAACTGCACCGTTCTCTTTGTACTGCGGGGGGACTTTTTTTGAATAATGCAGATCTCTAAGGGTCTTTTTTCTCTTTGATTTCTGGTTACTCCTTTTTAAAGTCTACTGCCAGTTTTGATCCCCAACTGTTAAAACAACAGCAGTGGATATAATTTATGTATCTCCATTTTATTTTATAAAGATAATTGTCAACTAGCATCCATGTCTCATGAGCAGACTAGAAGTAAAACACATTAAAATAGTTTTAACAAGTAAAAAGCATAAGTTTATGGGTATGAAACAAAAATTAAATTCCTCTCTTATTGGTATTTTTTAATCTTGAGGATGAAACCAACAGGCTTAATTGATTTATGTATTCCACAAGGTGGCAGTGGAGAATAGAATAAAAATGCAATCATTCACCAAATTAGATTCTATCTCAACTTGCCCTCCTCCTTCTGCTTAAAAATAATATACATGGTAGAGGTTCATGTTGATGACTTGCCATATAAAGATGGAGAAAAAGGTAACTACATCAAAAGACTTCACTCTCGTATTTTTCATCTCCTTGAAGAGTTTCTGAAAAATTGATAGTGGAGCTTATAGAAATTACTACAATGAACTACATTATTCCCAAATCAAATTGATGTATTTGCTAGAGAAGCATAAATTCCTAGAGTGGAAATACTTAAAGTTCTGCAGCATTTTCAAAATCCCCCTCCTTCTCATTAAATGGCAATATTTTATGTGATGTAAAGTCAATGCCCAGAAGGTGGGCGAGGTTCAAGTAATAGAATTTATTTTAGATAGAAGGGTTGTATCAGCCTGGAGCAGCTGTTACATGTCATACATAAATGGCCTATAAAACTACTGAGCAACTGTGGAAGTTTGATTTTTGGAGGTTAAATAGTGTTTGTTCCAGAGGTCTGATCTGCATATCACATTAAGCCAAAACCAAAACTCATTATGGTTAGTGACCTAATGGTTTGCATGTAATGCTAAGACATAATGGATATGTTCGTACATCAAGCTAAGCCTTAAACAAACCAGCCACATATTAGCTTAGTGCTATGTGAAAATCAATAGAAAGGAAGAATAAAAAAGATTTTCTGAGCTCTAAAAAAATGAACAAAGACACTGAAGGAGAAAAGTATTTTCTCACAGAATCATGAAGGTGACTTTTAAAGAGGGAACAATGGATATTTTACAGAACATGCACAATATGGGAGCAGCCCAGGAAAATCAAGTACCCAGCTGTAATACTGTATGCACTCTTTATAATTACTAGACATTTTTGCCTTTGAGATTCAGAGATAAGTTACTAGCTAGATTGGCTTCACTTTCCTGTAGAAGACTTGGTTCTGGCATACTCCTTTCCATACAGTTATCCTTCTTTTGGTTTTGGGGGCTCATTCCTCTGTCTACACTTCTGTGTTTAGACCTGTGTAAAATTTTCCTACCCAAGTTGAGCTGTTCTTTCTTCATGTAAGAAGCAGTATTATTCTATTACTGGACATCTTTAGATGAAGTGATTAGTAAAACCCACCATGACATCATAATAGTTCAGAAAGTGGCTGGGGAGGAACGTTCCTGGCTTACAGGCATACCTCAGTTCTTAGTAGGTATGGCAAGAATCTTCCAGTCTTCTAACAGAAGTCATAAAAATGGATTTATGATTACCTCTACTTATAATTTTCTGAACAGCCACTTAGGAACTGTTATGCAGCTTTCCTATTTCTTGAAGTTGCATTTCTATAATGATAATAGCCATTGCCTATTAAAAATTAAAAGCTGTAGTTTAATTATAGGATTTAAAATTTAAAATGATTAAAAAAGAAATGAGAATGCGAATAAATCATGACTCAGGAATGACTGTGATAGCATCTAGCTACTAATTAAAAGTAACATATTATCAGATTGGAAATTACCAGGGAAACTAAATTTCATTATTATGTTTGACTATTTCTACTCTGGTGGCCCAAAACAACAACAATTATTATTATTTTATTATTGTCTAATTCTTAATTCGTTAAAGATATATCTTTTTTGTTCACAGCAGTATTGACTGTCATGAATCATTTAGACCAGGACTAAGTTAAAAAACTTTGAACCACAGGTTGTCCTCGTCTATCTATGATAATTGGGATTGGGAACTCCATTGCTAAACAACACAGTCATAAGGCACAACATCACCTAACCACACTGAATTATGATGGCAGTTCTGGCAGTCCCAATTGCCAT